TCTCAAAAAAAAAAAAAAAAAAAAAGTGGGATATAGGCTGGGTGTGGTGGCTCACACCTGTAATCCCAGCACCTTGGGAGGCCGAGGTGGGTGGATCACTTGAGGTCAGGAGTTCGAGACCAACCTTGCCAACAAGGTGAAATCACATCTCTACTAAAAATACAAAAATTAACCGGGCGTAGTGGTGTACGCCTGTAATCCCAGCTACTTGGGAGGCTGAGGCAAGAGAATCTCTTGAACACGGGAGGCAGAGTTTCCAGTGAGCCGAGATCGCGCCACTGCACTCCAGCCTGGGTGACAGAGAACCGGTCTCAAAAAATACATAAATAAATAAAATTTAAAAACCAAACAGAAAAAACTGAAACCCTGATTTGTGTAAAGCACTTGTGGATTGTGATCTCCATTTGAGAAATTAGGAAACTGAGGCACAGAGCGGATAAGGACAGGCCCAAGGGTCTTGCACACTGGTTTGTGGAGAGCTGGATTTGGGTCAGGTCTGACTGGCACCAGATTCTGGACTCCTACGATACCATTTCTGAGCATCTCCGTCACAGAGCTGGCACTGCACAGGGCCCCTTTGGGGCGGGGTTTGTTGTCACCAACGTCACATCCCTGGCTTCCCTGGCCAGGCTTCATGAGAGGTACAGCTGGGAAGTGGCGGAGCAGGAGGAGCCTGCACCTGGCTTGTAGCATTTGCGGCGACCAATTACATACATTGCTTTCCATCCTCGGCAATGCCAGTTTGGCAGCACAAAATTGACCCTGGCATGAGTATTTACACCATGGAAATTGACAATGCTACACACCAGAGGGTTTAAAACAATTATTCTCTTTTTTCTTTCTTTTGACATGGAGTCTAGCTCTGTCACCCAGGCTGGAGTGCAGTGGCACAATCCCGGCTCATTGCAACCTCTGCCCCCCAGGTTCAAGTATTCTCCTGCCTCAGCCCCCTGAGTAGTTGGGATTACAGGCGTGTGCCACCACAGCCGGCTAATTTTTTATATTTTTGGTAGAGACGGGGTTTCACCATGTTGGCCAGGCTGGTCTCAAACTCCTGGCTTCAAGTGATCCACCCCCCTTGGCCTCCCAAAGTACTGGGACTACAGGCATGAACCACCACGCCCCACCAAAAAAAAATAGTCTTTAATATTTTTAAAGGTCAGCTTTGCTCCCTGGGCAAAAGATTTGGAGGCAGTGGGTTTCCTTGCAAGCAGCCAGGTCTGGCCAAGGGCGGGAGGCTTGGGTATTAGATAGTCCTGGCTTCAGTGCTTTGCTCTGCTGGTTAGAAGCTCAGTGCCCTTGGGAAAATCACCAAACCTCTCTGGGCTTTGCCTTCCCGCTTTGCAATGTCAGCAAATGATCCTTACCCCACGGGGGAAGTGTGTATGAATCGGTGAAGACAGCATCTACAAAACCACCAAGGGAGACTGGCACACGGAAGAGACCCACACAGCTGAGCCTCTGCCTGCCCCAGCTTCCAGCTCCTTCTTGTCACACCCGCTGAATACCAAGCCTGTGACATCAGCATGCTCATTGGAAGCAGGTGCTGGAATTGTCACTGGCTCTTTCTGAATCTTACAGATGCTGTCCCCAGAGCCTGCATTTCGGCATCTGGTTACACTGTACATGGTGGCAAATTTGACAGGTGCCCATCTCCCAACCCTTTGACCTCTACCTGCCCCCTCTCAGCACCTGCAGTGCATGAAGCCAGTGTCAGCACCTTTAGCACCCCAAGCTGCCCCACCTCCCACTTCCTGAGCCCAGTAGCAGGGGCTCAGGCATCGGTGGAGGAAAATGCTCTGCAGCTTTTGCAAACTGATATGGAAAAGAGAGTTTGGGATATGGTGGCTCACGTCTGTAATCCCAGCACTTTGTGTGGCCGAGGCAGGCAGATCACTTGAGGTTGGGAGTTCGAGACCAGCCCAGCCAATACGGTGAAATCCTGTCTCTACTAAAATACACAAATTAGTCGGGCGTGGTGGCATGCACCTGGAGTCCCAGCTACTCGAGAGGCTGCGGCAGAAGAATCGCTTGAACCCAGGAGGTAGAGGTTGCAGTAAGCCGAGATTGCGCCACTGCCCTCTAGCTTGGGTAACAGAGCAAGACTCCGACTCAAAACAAAAACAAACAAGAGTTTGGGAAGCTGAAAATTGGGGACTGTAAAAGTGTTCTGCAAGCCTTCAGTGCTGTCATCCCCCTGTGCGAGCCTCCGCCCACGACCAAGGTGGCTTTAGATCTCCCGTTCTGGGCCCATCTATGTCTCCCTCCACACCCTCAAACGCCATCCTAGGATTCTCCCCTGAGGAGCCTGATGCTGATGGAAAGGAGAAGGCTCAGCGCCGCTCACACCACACCTTGAGCTTCCAATCCAGTGGGAAAGACAGCTCTGGTCTGTGACACTGACTCAAATCCTTCCCTGGCCGGGAGGCTGTCAGTCCTGGGAGCAGCCCCAGCCAAACTCTGTCTGGGCCTTACAGGCAAGTCCTCCCAGCTGGGCACGCAGCCGGGGTGTGGAAAGTGTGTTGGGGGCCACTGATGCAGCTGCCCTCCCAAATGTGAGTCCGCTGAGCAGGACCCGGCCTCACTCCCACCTGCTTTCACTCATCCTGCCCTGGCAGTGCCCACTGAGCTCAGGTGAAGATGCCAATGAGCCCAGAATGTCACACAGGCCAGCCTGCTGCCAACTGCTCTCCTGACTCCCTGAGGCATGACCACAGCTCTGCTGGGTCACCGGGAACATCGCCGCCCCGGGGATGGAAAGGAAGAGAGTGTTGCTGTCTGAATCTCCGGTGCATGCTTTGCCCCCGCTTTTTGTTTGTTTGTTTGTTTTGTTTTTTGAGATGGAGTTTCATTCTTGTCACCCAGGCTGAAGTGCAGTGGTGCAATCTTGGCTCACTGCAACCTCCACCTTCCGGGTTCAAGTGATTCTCCTGCCTCAGCCTCCCAAGTAGCTGGGATTATAGGTACACACCACCATGCCTGGCTACTTCTTGTATTTTTAGTAGGGACGGGGTTTCACCACGTTGGCCAGGTTGGTCTCAAACTCCTGACCTCAGATGATCCACCCACCCCAGCCTCCCAAAGTGCTGGAATTACAGGCACGAGCCACCGCGCCCGTTGTCCCCTCTCTACATCACACACCCAGTGCACAGCCTAGAATGCTCCCAGGACAGGGCCTTGCCCACTGGAGAGAATGGCCTAGGAAGCTTCTTTTCCTTTCCTGCACTACTTAGCATGCATTCAGAGGACATCCAAGGTCTGGGCTTGGGTGAAGTGGAATCCTGGGAAAATCACTTCCAGAATGATGCTGGGGAAGAGAAAGTGTTTATGGGAAGCATGTCCTGAATTGAAGTGAGGGGTGGAAATGTGGCCAAAGCCTTTCAGAATGCCCTCCATGTTCTCACCAGACTATCTACAGTTGGAAATTCCACCATTAGTGATTCATTCCTTTGGCTGACACCCCTGAAATCGTGTGATCTTCAGGATCAACAGAACTAATGAGGAGAGCAGATGCTGTTGTGCATTTGTTATCCTACTGCATCTTCAAGCAGCCCATAAAGTGCTGCCTTACTATACCCATTTAGCAGCTGAGAACACTGAGGCTCAGAGAGGTTAGGAAATTGATGAAAGCTCCCACAATGCTGGGGTCATGCTAGATTTGATCCCAAGTCCAGCAAGACACAGTCCCTCCCTCCAGGAGCTCCCAGGTCTGGGACTGGCGCAAGTAGCTGCATGATGAAGGACGAGGCTCCAAGCCGTGATGCGGGGGGGCAGGGAGCATGACAGGGAGCAGAAGGAAAGCCCCTAAGTCAGAGGAAGGCCAGAAGTTCCCCAATGCTGATGCCTGAGCTGAACTTTCAAGGATGAGTAGGAGTAAGTTGGGTGGACAAGGAGATCAACAGTTCCCACCAGCAGGACCAGCACCTCCAAAGATCCAGGGGCATGAAGGGGCAAGCTGTCCTGGGGAAATGCAAGCCCAGATGCCCAGGAGGAGGGGGCACAGGAGGTGCAGGTGTCAGACTGAGGAGTCAGCAGCTGCTATGGGGCCACTAAAGAAGTCCCAAGTCATCCAAATAAGAAAATAAGCCAAAGTATCTTAGAAGAAAAGAAGGAGAAGGAGAAGGAGAAGAGGAGGGGGAGGAGGAGGAAGAACAAGAAGAAAAACAACAACAACAAGAAGAAGAAGAAGAAGAGAGAAGAAGAGGAGGAGGAGAAGGAGGAAGAGGAAGGGGAGGAGGAGAAAGAGGAAGAGGAAGGGGAGGAGGAGAAGGAGGAAGAGGAAGGGAGGAGGAGGAGGAAGGGGAGGAGGAGGAGGAAGGGGAGGAATGGGAGGAAAGGAGGGAGGGAAGGAGGAAGAGGAGGAGGAAAGAAGGAAGCAAAGAAGAAGGAGAAGTAGTCCCAAGTCTCTGGTCCCAGAAGGTGCTTTGGTGTCCATCAGCGTCTTGATACAGGATTTTATCTTGGCCTGACATGGTGCCATGCCTTGGGAGGTCTCCTAAACAGCACCCCAGAACCCCCAGAACCCTCTCTCCCAGCCCCAGGCCCAGGCAGAGGTCAAGTTTTCAGTGTCTCTGTCCTCATTTGGGAGCAAGTCTCTCTCCAACCAGCCCTCCCCTGCAAAAGTTTCCCCACTGACCTCCAGCCCTGACCCCAGCTGGTGGGAAATATTTGGTGAGCTCCACAGGGCAGGCTTACCGAAGACAGCTTCCAGGCATTAGGAGTGCCTGTGTAGACATATAATGCTTGTGTAGACACACGTGTGCACACACATGCACATATACACGCACATACACGGGCAGGAGGACAAAAGCTATCCAGCATCTCCCAGCATGGAGGCAGTCTGGTCTGTGAAATGTGTCAAGATAATTTAATACTGGCTTGGACATATGGGGTTCCAGGTGCAGGAGCCCTGGAACCCACTGGAATGTGCTGTAGATAAGCATAAGGCATTCTGTGCCCACTCCACTCTGGTTGGGAGTCGCAGAATGAGGACCTCCTGATTTGAGACAGATTCTTTATCCAGAGAATCTGAGATTCCAATTCAGATCCTGGAGGTGGGCCTGCTACTCACCTCCCCAGTAAATGTCCAGGCAGCATTGGACAAAGATGCTGGCCCCGCCCTGATGGGGACTGAAGAACAGGTCCCCAGAAGCCTTGTTGTTGGGGTACTGGGCACTTCAGAGGTTGAGGGGACCTGGAACAGTCTCCCTAGATCCATGTGCCTTCCTTTTGGGGTACACCTGAGTAGCCTCTAACAGCCACTGATTGGCACCAAGACAGAATCCAAAGGTTGGTATCACAAACCTTAAGTATGGAACAGGGAGCAAGTGCCCAGGGACTGTTTGCCCCATCTTATGAATGAATGGCTCTTGTAATGTCTGTGGATTTTTGGGGATGGGAAGAAATGGCCAAGTAACAGCATCCTCATCCCCAACTGTACTGAGAACCAACTACGGTGGAACAGAACATCAGGGGCTGCGTGGGTGTGTGCCTCAGTTTCCCTCTACTGCCCCCAAACTGCCTACTCCAGGAGCTTCCCAAAAGGGAAGGGGAGATGAGGAGATAGGCATGCAAATGCCCATTTGGAGATTTTCAGCTACTCTGGCCATGATCCCATTTCAGAGCACACCAGACAGGAAGGGCAAAGAGGTCGCATCATGAGTGCCAAATTGATTGGTACTGGCTGCCCAGAACACAGTGCTGGGAAGAATTCTGACATCACCCACGTGCTGCACTTGATTGGTGATGTCTGCCATGGTCACAGCCATTCACCATCCCTCATCTACAAGCTGGGCTGTCCCCTTTCCCTGAACGGGAGACAATTCGCCAACCTGGACTTTGGTAGCAGAGAGGGAGGCCCTGGCCACCCAGGTATGAACAAGCCACAGGACTCCTTGCCAGATTCCTCAGGACCTTTGAAACACAGATTGGCCCGTCATTCCCCAATTTTCCAGGACCACGCCTGCTTCCTTTTCTGAAGATGTTAATGTTGCTTGTATTAGGAAACACTCATCTAAAATAGAAACACATTACAGGGTTAATTTCTCCTCTGTGAGAATGGCTAAATGCTTGCTTTCTCGCTGGGGACTCGAGGGACGATCTGGTCATCACCAGAAGTCACCTCAGAGCCATCAAGAACTCTACCCAATGAAGGGAAGACAGGCCTTCGCGCTGTGCTCTGGGTTAACGTTGGCAAAAACGCTTCCTGTGGTGCTGCACTCCTAAAGCCCAAGTGACCTCTGGAGTCTGGGTCACCTCATTTGGACACCTTGGTGTGCAGGGTGCTGGGCAGATAGAGGTACCTCCAGATGGCATAGTAGTGGGTACCAGCACCAAATGCTACAAAGAGATGCCAGATGGCGTGGGCAAAGGGGATCCTCCCGTCACTCTTGAAGAAGACCATGCCCAGGCAGTAGAAGACCCCTCCGGTCACCAGCTCCCAGATGCCCTCGGTGTTGGGCTGTCGGCAAGGACAAGGGTGGGGCACAGGGTCAGAGGGGCAGCCACTGTGGCTGGAAGTACCAGCCAGTCCCCACCACCCAAAACTAACAGACACACAGGTGGCAAACCAGCCCAGACTCCCAGGTGGGAAGCCTCAACACTGATATGCCAGCGATTCTCCCCAGACTAGTTCTTAGATGTCCCATTTCTATTAAAATCTCACCAATTTTTTTTTTTTTTTTTTTTTGAGACGGGGTCTCAGTCTGTTGCCCCGGCTGGAGTGCAGTGGTACAAGCGTAGCTCACAGTAGCCTCCAACTCCAGAAACAATCCTCCTGCCTCAGCCTCCTCAGTAGCTGGGACTATAGATATCCCATGGTGCCACCATGCCTGGCTAATTTTATTTTATTTTTGGAGATGGGGGCATCTCACTATGTTGCCCAGCTGGTCTCAAACTCCTGGCCTCCAGTGATTCTCCCACCTTGGCTTCCCAAGTGCTGGCATTACAGGGCGAGCCACCACACTCAGCCTCAAATAATATTTGTATAACTTACCTGTTTTTGTTTTTGTTTTTAAGATGCAGTTGCTCTTTTGCCCAGGCTAGAGTGCAGTAGCAAGATCTCGGCTCACTGGCGACCTCTACCTCCCGGGTTCAACCCATTCTCCTGCCTCAGCCTCCTGAGTAGCTGGAACTACAGGTGTGCACCACCATGCCCAGCTAATTTTTTGTATTTTTAGTAGAGATAGGGTTTCACCATGTTGGCCAGGCTGGTCTCAAACTCTTGACCTCAGGTGATCTGCCCACCTTGGCCTCCCAAAGTGGTGGGATTATAGGTGTGAGCCACTACGCCTGGCCTATAGCTTATCTTTTGTAAAAAATGTAATACATCTGGGTATATACACAAATAATTGAAAGCAGGGTCTTGACACATATTTGCAACCATGTTCATAGCAGCATAATCACAACAACAAAAGGAGGAAGCAACCCAGGGGTCCACCAAGGAATGAAGGATAAACAAAACGAGCTCGAGGCCGGTGCCTCACGGTGGCTTCACGCCTATAATCCCCAGCACTTTGGGAGGCTAAGGAGGGCAGATCATGAGGTCAGGAGTTCGAGACCAGCCTGGGGCAACATGGTGAAACCCCGTCTCTACTAAAAATACAACAATTAGACAGGAGTGGTGGCGCATGTCTGTAATCCCAGCTACTCAGGAGGCTCAGGCATGAGAATCAATTTGAATCTGGGAGTTGGAAGTTGCGGTGAGCCAAGATCATGCCACTGCATTCCATGCTGGGTGACAGAGTAAGACTCTGGTCTCAAAAAATAAAATAAAATAATGAGGACAGGACAGAGTTATAGTTTGCAGAGATGCCAAACGTTCTGAAAGATGGTTGGTGGTGATGGTCGCATGACAATGTGACTGTGCTTACTGCCACTGAACTGAATATTTACCACAAGTTTTTAAAGTAATGGCATGGCAAAAAAAAAAAAAAAGAGAGAGAGGTAGAGAAAATAATTTTTGTTTTGCTTCATGGCAAAAAATATTTAGAGAAAAAAAACATGGTAGGAAAAAAGTAGTAGTCCTGGCCCCCGGATGTGAGTACTATTAACATGAGTTGCTCTTAATAAAAGAACTCTCTGCAGGCACGGTAGCTACGCCTGTAATCCCAGCACTTTGGAAGGCCAAGGTGGGCTTAAGCCCAGGAGATCGAGACCAGCCTGGGCAATATAGTGAGACTCCATCTCTAAAAAAAAAAAAAAAAAGAAGCAGCAGAAAAAGAAACACTCATAGGATAGGAGGGATTGAGCAAGAAGAACTGCCAAGCCCTCACCAGGCCAGGAATTCAAGACTATTCTAGGCACATAAGGAGATCCTGCTCTACAAAAAAAAAAAAAATTGTTCTTTTGAAACAGAGTTTCACCTCTTGTAGCCCAGGCTGGAATGCAGTGGTGCGATCTCAGCTCACTGCAACCTCTGCAACCTGAGTTCAAGAGATTCTCCTGCCTCAGCCTCCAGAGTAGCTGAGACTATAGGTGTGCACCACTCTGGCAAATTTTTTTTTTTTTTAGAGATGGGTCTTGCTGTGTTGCCCAGGCTGGTCTCAAACCCCTGGACTCAAAACTATCCTCCCACCTCAGCTTCCCAAAGGACTGGATTATAGGCATGAGCCACTGTGCCTGGCCTACTGCCTCTTTAGACAAGACATGCCAGGCCTCAGTTTCCCCACTGCCATAGGAGAGTGTGACAATCTCAACAGCCAAGTCCAGCCCAGACACTCTTGGTCCCTTGCAGGGACCCATCCATGCAGGGCTGGCAGCACTTACCATGGAGAGGATGACCAGGGCAGGGAAGAAGCCCATCACGATGTAGCAGAGAAGCTCCACAAGCTTGTACCTGGCAGGAAACAAGCCATGCCAGCCTTAGGACATGCCTCCCCACAAGGAAACTGCACACAGCTCCGTGTTCCTGGGGAAGAGGGAACACTCTGACCAGAACAGTGAGAAGAAAGGACGCTTTCTCTGCCCAGCACGACTTGGCTCAGATTTCACCCAGCTACATCCAACAGGTGCTGGCAGTTGTGTGACCTTGGGTACTTTCCCTCCCTGAGACTCAGTTTCCACATCTGTGAAATGCATGCTGGTGCCACAGCAGGGATTACAAACATTGGGCATAGCACACACGGGCACTTCCTATGCTCAGCCCATGGCAGACATCACTATTCGATCCCAGCATCTCTTCCCATAGGGCCCAAGCAGCCACTTCCAATCGAGCTGGGTTGCTGCAGCAACCGAAGCCTCTTTGCTGTCCCTGGACTAAATGACTTCCAGAGGTTCCTGGGCTCTGAGACTGCAGAAGTCTGTTATTCTCTTTTGCTTCTATCATCCTGTTTCTATAATAATCCACTGAATTATTTCCATCCCCATCACTCGGCAGAATGGGGATACAGAGAGTGTGGCTCTTTCAGGACCTCTCCCTTCATCTCTAATAATTTAGGGAGGGCAGATGGCATGTGACCACCCCCACCCCACCCCGGTTCAATGGGGCTGGGAACCTGTGTTTTTTATTGTTGTTTTGTTTTGAGACAGAGTCCCCCTCTGTCGCCCAGGCTGGAGTGCAGTGGCGCAATCTTGGCTCACTGCAACCTCCACCTCCCGGGTTCAAACCATTCTCCTGCCTCAGCCTCCTGGTTAGCTGGGATTACAGGCGCCCATCACCATGCCCGGCTAATTTCACCATTTTAATAGAGACAGGGTTTCATCATGTTGGTCAGGCTGGTCTCAAACTCCTGACCTCAAGTGATCCTCCTTCTTCGCAGATCACTCGGCCACCCAAAGTGCTGGGATTACAGACTGAACCACCACGCCTGGCCACCTATGATGTCTTTTGATAACTTCAAGTTGACCCTAGGGGCTGCAAGACCTGGTGGCCACCCATGAGCCTGAATGGCATGACAGCCAGCGCTGTGCTCTCACGACTATGGCATCATCCTGGGCTCTCAACTGCCCAGGAGTACTGCCCAGGAGGTTGGAGCATCTAAGGGAATCCCGCCACCCTGCAGCCCCCAGGCCCGGCTTACCGCTCATGGAAGAAGAAGACATAGATGGTGCCCACGGAAGCCATAATCCAGACCAGCCAGCGTATGTGGGAGGCCCAGGGGCCCAGCTCCCGAAGGTTCAGCCTGGGAGAGAGAGAGCCAAGGCCATGGCCCTGAGGAGGGCCCACCAAGACCCCAGCCCTTGAGGACTGGCCTGTCACAGGAAATGGACCCCAAGGAAGTCCTGTCACCCGCCACTTCACGGCTGGGACATGGGCGCTCACAGGAAGACAGGTGAACAGGCAGAAAGTGCGCTAGATAACTTGAAGCAGCAAGCAATGATTAGAGGAAAATTAGTAAAATTGATAATATCTAGAAGAAAAGGTAAGCAGCACCTCAAACTGGCAGGATGATGAACAGGTAAAGCCTGTTTGGCGGGAATGTGCATTCTCCATCACTGCAGTTCCGGCAGCCTAACCAAAGCAACGCTGTTTTGTTTTGTTTCCTTATTTTTTTGAGATGTATCTCTATCTGTGCCCCAGGCTAAAGTATAGTGGCACAATCCCAGCTCACTGCCACCTCACCACCTGGGTTCAAGGGATTCCCCTGCCTCAGCTTCCCGAGTAGCTGGGATTACAGGCACCCACCGCCACGTCCGGCTAATTTTGTATTTTTAGTAAAGATGGGGTTTCTCCATGTTGGCCAGCTGGTCGCGAACGCCTGACCTCAGGTGATCCACCCACCTTGGCCTCCCAAATGCTGGGATTACAGACCTAAGCCTCCGCGCCTGGCCTCCAATCCTTTGTTAATAATTATTTTAAGAGACAGGGTCTTGCTACTTGAGAAGCTGAGGCGGGAGGATTGCTTAAGCCTGGGAGGTCGAAGCTGCAGTGAGCCATGATCACACCACTGCACTCCAGCCTGGGCAACAGAGTGAGACCCTGTCTCAAAAAAAATTTTAAATAATAATAATTTAAAAATGAAAAATATGAGGAAGATCTGTTTTTACCAACATAGATAATCTCTAAGCTATATTGTGAGGTATTTGGTAGGTAGGGGGTATGAACCAAGAATGAGATGACTAATATTGTGTGTATGTATAAAGAGAGAACAGTCGGCCAGGCACGGTGGCTCACGCCTGTAATCCCAGCACTTTGGGAGGCCAAGGCGGGCGGATCACGAGGTCAGGAATTGAGATGATCCTGGCTAACACAGTGAAACCCTGTCTCTACTGAAAATACCAAAACAAAATTAGCCCAGGCATGTGGCGGGTGCCTGTAGTCCCAGCTACTCGGGAGGCCTGAGGCAGGAGAATGGTGTGAACCCGGGAGGCGGAGCTTGCAGTGAGCCGAGATGGCTCCACTGCACTCCAGCCTGGGCGACAGAGCGAGACTCCGGTCTCAAAAAAAAAACAAAACAAAAGAGATAACTGTCAATGCACAGAAAAAGATCTGAACCTCGTCCCATGTGGTTTTGTCTGGAAGGTGTAATTAATAGTGGTGATGATTGCAGAAGAGGGTCCTTTAGGTTTTTTCTGGAATGAATTTCTATTTTTTTTTTTTTTTTTTTTTTTTTTTTTTTTGAGATGGAGTCTTACTCTGTCACCCAGGCTGGAGCGCAGGGGCGTGATCTCAGCTCACTGCAACCTCTGCCTCCCGCGTTCAAGTGATTCTCCTGCCTCAGCATCCAGAGTAACTGGGATTACAGATGCACCACCATGCCTGGCTAATTTTGGTATTTTTAGTAGAGACGGGGTTTCATCATGTTGGCCAGGCTGGTCTCGAACTCCTGACCTCAGGTGATCTGCCCGCCTCACCCTCCCAAAGTGCTGGGATTACAGGCATGGGCCACCACACCTGGCTTGGAATGAATTTCTAAAATGAGAATGTGTTACGTACAACTTCTGCCAAAAAAAGTGACCTGCATGGAGTCTGTCATTATAAAGAAGTTAAGTAACACTGAAAAGTTTAAGAGTAAAAAATAATAACCCGTCTCATTACCTAAAATAACCATCAGTGAACATCATTCAAGATATCCTTCCAAGTAGACCTAAAAATAGGCCACCAGGTAGAAGGATAGGACGGGATGAAGGGAAAGGAGAAAGGGTGAGAATTAAGTTATGCACATCATTTTTAATTAGAAGTATTACATTTAATTTTAACTTGACTTTAAAAGAAGAAAATGGACACTTAAAAATTTTGCTGAAATTCAAACAAACGTTTTTTCACCATAAAATTCACTTGGATTCCTGAAGTTAAGATAAATTATGTAGCACAAAAAAATTGAATTTTCAGCCGGGCGCAGTGTCTCATGCCTGTAATCCCAGCACTTTGGGAGGCCAAGGCAGGTGGATCACCTGTGGTCAGGAGTTCCAAACCAGCCTGGTCAAAATGGTGAAACCCCATCTCCACTGAAAATACAAAAATTAGTTGGGTGTGGTGGCGGAAGCCTGTAGCTACTTGGGAGGCTGAGGCAGGAGAATTGCTTGAACCCGCGAGGCAGAGTTTGCACCTGAGCCAAGATCACACCATTGAGTTCCAGCCTGGGCGATGAGGTGAAACTCCATCCTCGGGGGGGAAAAAAAAAGTTGGATTTTTAAATTACATGTTTCGGGTTCTTGTTTGTTTGTTTTTTTAGAGACAGGGCTCACTCTCCCAGGCTGGAGTGTGTGGCACAATCATAGCTCACGGCAGCCTCGATTCCTGGGCTCAAGCGATCCTCCTGTCTCAGCCTCCCTGAGTAGCTGGGAACACAGGCACACGCCATCACAACTAGTTTCTTTCAAACACTATTCATGGATATGGGATTCTTGGACTTCTTTCACGTGTGACAATGGTGCCTATTGTTTTTATGGCTGCATGACAACCCCATTTGATAGTTTATTCCGAAGTCCTATCTTTGGGAAATGATTAGAAGTGTCTCCACTGTGTGTCAGCATTAAATGGTGCTGTGGCCACATTCAGAAGCCAGCTTGTTTTTTTTCACTTTGCAAATAATTTATTTTTTCAGTCTCAGTGCCTGAAGAATTTGTCTCTTTCTTTCATTCCATCAGCTTCTCTCTGATTGCTCTAATTTTTGGCTTTTTGAAAATGTCTGTATTCTCCCTGATTATGTAAAATCTTCAGTATTTATTTGGTTTTGGTTTGTTTTCTTTTTTCCCCCATAAAGAGAGGGAGCTGGGGGTTCTGTTTGTGACAATACGCTCAGATACCAGCACAGGGCCCTGGCACAGGGCAGTGCCCCAGTCAATCACAGCCGGGGTAAAGGTAAAGAAGAGAGACTCAGGCTGGCGCAGGGGCCACACCTGTGATCCCAGCACTTTGGGAAGCCGAGGCAGGCGGATCACCTGAGGTAGGAGTTTGAGACCACCCTGGCTGACATGGTGAAAACCCCATCTCTACTAAAAATACAAAAATTAGCGGGGTGTGGTGGCACATGCCTGTAGTCCCAGCTACTCAGGGGGCTGAGGCCAGGAGAATCGTTTGAAACCGGGAGGTGGAGTTGCATTGAGTCGAGATCCACGCCACTACGCCCGGCTGAAAATCCAATTTCCCTGTGCTTACATAATTTATCTTAACTTCAGAATCCAGTGAATTTATGGTGAAAATTCTGGGCAAGAGAACAAGACTCCATCTCAAAAACATAAACAAACAAAAAATAAAATCAAAATAAATATATACTTTAAAATGGCCACTGCAGTGGCTCATGCCTGTACTCCCAACACTTTGGGAGACCGAGGCAGGAGGATGGCTCTGAGGCAGGAGTTTCAGGACCAGTCTGGGCTAGAGTGAGACCCCATCTCTACCAAAAATAAAAACATTAGCCAAGCATGGTGGCTTGCACCTGCAGTCCCAGCTACTTGGGAAGCTGAGGCGGGAGGATCACTTGAGCCCAGGAGCTGGAGGCTGCAGTGAACTATGATCACAACACTGCACTCCAGCATAGGCAATAGAGCAGACCCCTGTCTCTAAAAAAAAATTTTAATTTAAAAGTATATTAAATAAATTAAATATTAAATAAATATAAATATAAGTATATATGTATATATATGCATGTTATCGCCATGTCTTCTATTACACATATTTATATATATGTGCATATATATAGACACATGCATACATATGTACATATTAATATTGCTTTTTGGATGGGCGTGGTGGCTCACACCTATAATCCAAACACTCTGGGAGACAGAGGTGGGAGATCACTGGAGGTTAGGAAGTTCAAGACAGCCTGGCCAACATGGTGAAACACCGTCTCTACCAAAAAATACAATAATATGGGCTTGTCGCACGCCTTAATCACACCAGGGGCGAGGAGAAATCGCTTGTACCGGGGAGGCAGTTGCAGGAACCAAGATCTCGCTACTGCGCTCTAGCTGGTGACAAGTGAGATTCTGTCTCAGAATTCTCAGAAAGAAAAAATGATGTATATATTTGCTTTTCTGCATAAAATAACTCAAGAAGGACACCAAGAAAGTGGGTATAAAGCAGCTGCTTCCAGGAAGGAGAAAGTGTGGCGGAAAGCTGTTCACCTAACTCCTCTGCGCCAGGTCAACATATTACCCGCCAAATAGAAAAATAAATTCAAACAATGAAAAGAAAGGTCGCCAAGCGTTGCTGAGTCGGTGGGACAGTATCACCAGGGTGCGTAGGAAGCCGCTATGAGAAATAGATACCTATCCGGTCGAACTGTGTAGACAGTGTTCCACCATCCTAGGGTGGCAGAGAAGCCAGCGGCACAGCCCCTGCACAGAGGGAAGGCCAGTGCCCCCAGAACATGCCCTGGCTGATCGTGCTGCCTACAGGTTAGCGGGGCTGGGTTCCTCTATCTCAGCCCAGGACCCTTGGGCCCTCAGAATCCCCATCTGTAAGTGACCAGGGCAGTGGGTCTTCAAACAGGCTCTTGTCATCACCCTAGGCTGCATGGAGACACCTTGCCTCCGGGATTCCACTGAAGGCCTTGTGCCCCTGCAAGTAAGGATCGGACATCCTCCTTCCACTTTTTTTTTTTTTTTTTTTTTTTTTTTTTTTTTTGAGACAAAGTCCATCTCTGTCTCCCAGGCTGGATACAGTGGCACAATCTCAGCCCACTGCAACCTCTGCATCCCGGAATTCAAGCCATTTTCTTGCCTCAGCCTTCCAAATAGCTGGGATTACAGGCACCTACCACCATTCCCAGCTAGTTTTTGTTTTTAGTAGAGACGGCGTTTGCCCATGTTGGCCACGCTGGTCTCAAAACTCCTAACCTCCATGATCCACCTGCCTCGCCTTCTAAAGTGCTGGGATTACAAGCCGTAACCACTCACCCCGGCCATCTCCCTACTTAATCAGAGCCATATGCATTTCTGCTTTATTATACTGGTTTTTCCAAAGATTATAATGGGAAAGAATCTTGGAGAAAGTGCAAAAATGGCCAGACAGATGGATGACTCACACTGTAATCCAGAGCTTTCAGACTAAGGCAAGAGAATTGCTTGAGCTCAGAAGTTGGAAACCAGCCTGGGCAACATAGTGAGACCTCATCTCCACTAAAAATTAGAAAGATCAGCCAGGCATAAGGTGCATGCCTGTACGGCCTAGTACTCAGAGCTGAGGCAGGAGGATCTCTTGACCCTGGAGTTGAGACTACACTGAGCCATGTTTTGTGCACTGCCACTCCAGTCTGGGAAACAGAGTTAGATCCAGTTCTCAGAAAAAAAAAAAAAAAAATGACCCAAAACTACTAAATTCCGTGCCCCTCAAGACTGTCGGGAGCTGAACATATCTAATGCTGGAAGAACTTAGTGGTTCAGATCCGGTTCTGGAGGCCAGAAGGCCTGGGTTTGAATTCCAGCTCTACTCTTCAGGAGTACATAACCTTGAGCAATTACCTATTCCCTAGATCTCAGCTCCTTCTCTGTAAAATACGAGAATGACAGCAACCTGACACGGGGCTGTGGGAGGATTAAATTAGCTAATATCATGCAGTATATAGTAAGTGGTCAATAAATACCAGCTGTTTTGGCGGTGGTCATGCCTGTAATCCCGCAACTTAGGGAGGCCAGGTGGGGATCACCTGAGTCAGGAGTTTGAGACCAGCCTGGCTAACATGGTGAAAACCCCTTTCTACTAAAAATGACAAAAGATTAGCTGAAGCGTGGTGTGAGTGCCTTGTAATCGCCGCACTAGGAAAGCTGAGGCAGGAGAATTGCTTTGAGCCTGGGAGCAAGGTTGCAGTGAGTCAAAGATCAGCCATTGCACTCCAGCTTGGTCCAACAAGAGGAAACTCTGTCTCAAAATAAATAAATAATAATAAAAATAAAATAAATAAAACCATTTTTATGAATGACCCTCACCTATTATAGTGAGCGATAACCCTCAATACATGGGACTGTCATGGTGCCAACTCCACAGTGGTGCCCAATGAGTCACACCCCTGGTATTCACACACTGGACTCTCCCTCCCAAAACAAATAAGAGTAAACTCAGGGAACACTAGGACATTGCAGAAATGATGGTGTATGGTTTCCTAAGGCCAGATCATAAAGACATTACAGCTTCTGGCTTGTTCTGTAAGTTGCTAAGTTTGAGGGGAAACAAGCTCCCATGTGGCTGTGAAACACAGCCACACTACCAACCCAGCACTAACTCACCAGCCAAGTGAGGGGGCTTAGACTCTCCAGCCCAGTCAAGCCATAGATGACAGCACCCCAGCAACCTCTGACTACAGGAAACACCACGGACTGGAGCCACACAGCCTAAAGCTTCTCAAATTCCTAACCCCTTGAGGCTTTGAGAAGAGATAAGTGTTTCTTGTTATTTTAAGCCACAATGCTCTGGCATACTTCGTTACAAAGCAATCACTGACCTGTACAAACTGTGGTTCTGTCTAGCAAAGTGCAGCCCTGAACAAATTTGACTGATTGTATGCACGGCTCAACTGCATGTCTTCCTAGAAATTAAAGGGAGTGGCATACAGCTTTATGGGGGGCCTGGATTCCTAGAGTCAGTTTGGGTTGAATGTGGCTGCTATGCAACCTTGAGCAAATAAGGTTTCTTTTCTTTTTCTTTTTCTTTTTCTTTTCTTTTCTTTCTTTCTCTCTTTCTTTCTTTCTTTCTTTCTTTTTTTTTTTTTTTAAAGACAGATTTTCACTCCGTTGCCCAAGTCAGAGTGCAGTGGCACTATCTCAGCTCACTGCAACCTCCACCTACCAGGTTCAAGCAATTCTCGTGCCTCAGCCCCCTGAGTAGCTGGGATTATGGGTGTGTGTCAGACACCGTGCCTCGCTAATTTTTGTATTTTTAGTAAGGACAGGGTTCACCATGTTGGCCAGGCTGGTTTCAAACTCTTGACCTCAAGTGATCCTTCCCACTCCGCCACCCAAAATGCTGGGATTTCAGGCCATAAGCCCTTGCCCCTGGCCTCGCTGTAATTTTTTTTTTTTTTTTTAATCAAAACTAGCCAAACGCAGGGCTCACATTTGTAATCCCAGCACTTTGGGAGGCCAGGAGGGCAGATCAACCTGAACCTAGAATTCAAGACAGCCTGGGCAACATGATGAAACTCCCATCTCTACAAGAAATACATAATAATTAGCTAAATGCAGTGGTGCATGCCTGTAGTCCCAGCTACTCAGGAGGCTGAGATAGGAGGATCTCTGAGCCTGGAAGTGGAGGTGACCGAGATGAACCGTTACCAATACCTCCAGCCTGGGTGACAGAGTGAGACCCCCATCTCAAAAAAAAAAAAATAAAATAAAATAATAAAATATCGAAAATGTAAAACTCAGGATTCTAATGCCTACATTGCAGAATTAGTGAAAAGATTAGGGAATGGCACCTGTAGCTTGCCTGGAACAAAGCCCAGAGGGGAGCTGGCCCGTCATGACCACCCTGCAGCCAGCAAGGGCTTTTCTCTTGCTCCTCTCAGAAGCGAGCAAACCAAGCCAGGCGTGAAGGCTCATCCCTGAAACCCCAGCACTTTGGGAGGCTGAGGCGGGTGGATCACTAGAGCCCATGAGTTGGAGACCAGCCTGGGCAACATGGTGAAACCTCATCTCTACAAAAAGATACAAAAATTAGCCAGGCATGATGGCACACACCTGTGATCTCAGTGCCTCAGGAAGCTGAGGCAGGAGGATTGCTTGAGCCCTGGAGGTGGAGGCTACAGTGAACCAAGACTCTACCACTGCACTCCAGCCTGGGCAACAGATTGAGACTCTTTCTCAAAAAAAAAAAAGTTGGCCAGGCACAGTGTTGGCCAGGCGCAGTGGCTCACACCTGTAATCCCAACACTTTGGGAGGCCAAGGTGGGTGGACCATCTGAGGTCAGGAGTTTGAGACCAGCCTGGCCAACATGGAGAAACTCCATCTCTACCAAAAAAAAAAAAAATACAAAATTTAGCTGGATGTGGTGGTACACACTGTAGTCCCAGCTACTCGGGAGGCTGAGGCAGGAGAATTGCTTGAACCCAGGAAGCGAAGGTTGCAATGAGCTGAGATAGCACCACTGCACTCCTGCCTGGGCTACAGAGTGAGACTCTATTTCAAAAAAAATAATAATAATAGGTGAGCAAACCAGGCTCCCCTGGGCGAGGTGGTCTGCCCCAAAGAGACCCAACTGCAGCCTGTGTAAGGCAGGGCCTGTGCCTCCTGCAAAGCCAGCCTGTGGGTCACCTACCCCAGCCCCTCCCAGCTCAGCAGAGAATGTCACTAGGCAGACTGGATGTCCTGGTTCACCCCCCGGGCCGCCATGGGTCCCCCTGCCCCGACCCCCTACCCGGCATGGGTCCCCTCTGGGCAGGAGGCACCTGAGGTGGCTCTTCTTCCAGGAGATGGTGTGAAACACGGTGGACACCACGAAGAGGCCGCAGAGGCCAAGGCCGTAGATCCAGGCAGAGATGGTCTCCCAGTCATCGTCTGACAGGAAGTACAGGTTGGAGCTGCCCAGGATGCTGGGGATGATCCAGAACTGGAGGGGCAGGGACGGCGGGGACAGGTGCAGCAGCTGCGTGGCTCAGAGCACGCCTCCTGCCCCTTCCCCGGCTGAGCTGCCCAACGTGGCAGCACTCGTCTCTTGAAATGTGGTCAGTGCCACTGAAGAATGGAATCATTTTATTTTACTTTAATGGATTCAAGTGTAAATTTCCTTCCTTCCTTCCTTCTTTGCTTCCTTCCTTCCTTCCTTTCCTCTCCTTCCTTTCCTTTCCTTCCTTCTTTTCATCCTTCCATCCTTCTTCCTTCCTTCCTCCGTTCTTTCCTTCCTCTCCTTTCCCTTTTCCACTTTTCTTTCCTTTCCTTTTTTCTTTTCTTTCTCTTTTCCTTTCCTCCTTCTCCTCCCTCCCTCCCTCTCTCTCGTTCCCCCTCCCTCCCTCCTCCCTCCTCCCTTACTTCCTTCCTTCCTCCCCCAGGCTAGAGTGCAATGGTACAATCACAGTTCACTGCAGCCTCAACATCCTGGGCTCAAGTGATCCTCCCACCTTGGCCTCCCAAGTAGCTGGGACTACAGGCACACACCACCATAACTGGCCAATTTTTACATTTTTTATAGAGATGGGGTCTGGCTATAATGCCCAGGCTGGTCTTGAACTCCTAACCTCAGGCGATCCTCCCACCTTGGCCTCCAAAGGACTGGGATTATAGGTGTGAGCCACCATTCCCAGCCTCAGGTGTCAATTTCAACAGCCACATGGGGCCAGTGGCTGCCAACCTGGACAGTGCAGGTCTAGATACTTGATTCAAATATCTCAAAGGGGTCCATGTAGGAAACAGTCAAAGACCACGTGCAGGGAGTGGCCGCCCCCACCACACCCCAGCCCCTCTCTGGGACACCACACAGAGAAGTATGATGTGCCACATGTCACACATCATCATCACAGATGTCCTGACCTCATCTGCTTGGACTGCCCTGAAGGAAGAGCCCAGCCCTGAGCAGCACAGGCGCCCAGGTACCATTCAGTTTGTAAACGGGTTTAAATAGTGGATGGTGGCCGGGTGCGGTGGCTCACACCTGCAATCCCAGCACTTTGGGAGGCTGAGGCGGGTGGATCACGAGGTCAGGAGATCAAGACCAGCCTGGCCAATATGGTGAAACCCCGTCTCCACTAAAAAATACAAAAAATTAGCCAGGCATGGTGGCATGCGCCTGTAATCCCAGCTACTCAGGAGGCTGAGACAGGAGAATTGCTTGAACCCGGAGGTGGAGATTGCAGTGAGCTGAGATCGTGCCACTGCACGCCAGCCTGGTGACAGAGCAAGACTCCATCTCAAAAAAAAATTTATTTTTAAGTAGTGGATGGTCCACCATGATTCACTGGAGAGAATGGAATCTCCAAATCCTCTGCCTTTATAGGTGCATGGCCTGGCCCTTCCCAGCCCCTCTACTCTGCTTTTCCCTACTCTCCCTCCTGCTCTGCCCCAAGTCACTATGCCTTGGCCTTCCTGGCCTTTGTCCAGTTGTCCCAACACTTTCCTGCCTCGGGGGCTCTGCACATGCTGTTCCCTTGTCCTCAACATGCTGTTCCCTTCACTCCCTGGGAGATTGGCTCCTAGTCATCCTTTCAGCAGCTGGTTAATATCACTCTGGTAGGAGCACCTGCTCTGTCCTTTGACTGACGCAGGCCTCTCCTGTTGTCTATAGCACCTGGTGCCCTCTCTCCCTGGCAGCCCCCACATCTTATATGATACTTACTTAATCATTATTTCCCCCACACAACACGAGCTGCACAGGGTCACCAGTGCACGGTGGGCACCTAACAAATATATACTGAGGGAGGCAGGTAGGAAGGAAGGAATGCTGGAAGAGCCCTTTTGGGAAGAAGTGGGCAAGTCAGGGCCTGGTGCAGTGACTCACACCTGTAATGCCAGCACTTTGGGAGGCCAAGGTGGGTGGATCACTTGAGGTCAGGAGTTCGAGACCAGTCTAGCCAACATGACAAAACCCCGTCTCTACTTTAAAAAAAAAAAAAAAAAAAAAAAAGCCAGGGTGGTGGCAGGTGCCTGTCTGCTAGTCAGGAGGCTGAGGCAGGAGAATCACTTAAACCCAGGAGGCAGAGGCTGCTCTGAGCCACGATCACGCCACTGCACTCCAGCTTGGGTGACAGAGAGAGACTCTGTCTCAAAAGAAATAAATAATTTTAAACATTTTTTAAAGAAAAGTAGGCAGTGAGAATTCAGCCCCAACAATGTGCATCCTCCAGGACTCACTGAAAAGCAATCTGTCTGCAAAATCAGCTCAGGTGAGTCCCAAAGGAAGGAGGTGTCCTGCTAGCTTCCCCGACATCCAGGCTGGGCGCCTGGATGTCGGGGCTGGATGGGGACAGGTCAACAGCAACGCACCAGAATGGGATGGCTCCTTAATAAGAGGCCATCAGCCACCTACATGTCCATCTGCACATGACAGACTGAACATCAACAGGGAAGATAGAAGCCTTGCTGTAGGCGATGAATTAA